CCTTAAGTGAGTATTGTTAGATCATAGCGTCTCGTAGTTTGTAGAAAGTTCTAGGCTTCAGTTTGACAATATATATATATATATATATATATAGGCGACCAAGTGAACACAAGTTAAGTCAGAGAACGTTAAGTTGGTGAAAGTGGTTGTTAGCTTAGCCGTAACAGGCAATATTTAAAGTGAGTTTCAGAGTGGTATTGTAATAACAGAGATAAAGGAGAAAAATTCGTATTGTCAAAGGGTGTTCTAAAGTAACTGAACCAACCTGTGTGGACTTTTGACAAGAAAAGATAATTATTTAAAGCTTTAGATAGAACTTTGATAACCAATAATGAAAAAAAAATTGGACATACGTTTGTCTTGTTTTGAGTATATTATTTTAAAACAAATGGACTGTATACTGTCCATTTATTGTTGACATTTATCGCCAACAAATCACAGGCACCTACTGTAAAGAATCCGGCCACCCCATGCATAGAAACCTGATAGGCATAAATAGAAATCAAAACTAAACAAACGTAAAGTAAAAACGATAAGAGGAGAGTTTTTGTATAAAAAAGGTGTATATTTTCATTAGAAAGTAGAAAACTGGCCAGTAATAGATTTCTGAGTAACTGCTTTACAGAAATAAATATAGCTAAAATAAAAACCTAGCATTGTGCCTCTTCACTTCGTTCTGTTCTAGGTAAAAGTTCTGATGTTTCTGTGAAAGCCTCTACCACTGCAGGCAAAACTTGCACAACTCGTAAGGGGATTATAGCCCCGCTTCTAATCCTTCCTTAGCCTCGATGCCATGGTACTGGAAAAGTGCCTTTCACCCACATAGCATACTGCATATTACATAATCGATTTCGAGAGTATGATGATACATGTTTGCTCAGAAAAAAATGGGGTGGGGGAACAGTCAAATAGAAGAAGAAGAAAAGACACAAAAAAACCTGGTTCTTTGGAAAAATTGTTGTATGTACGTGTCTGTCAGACTTTAATTCCTAACAGCTAGAATTATAACTCTATAACTACCGATAAATCTTTTACAATGGCCAGGTGGTTGGGGCGCTCGACTCGCAATCTGAGGGTCGCGGGTTCGAATCCCCATCACACCAAACATGCTCGCCCTTTCAGCCGTGGGGGCGTTATAATGTGAGGTCAATCCCACTATTCGTTGTTAAAAGAGTAGCTAAAGAGTTGGCGGTGGGTGGTGATAACTAGCTGCCTTCCTACTGCTAAATTAAGGATGGCTAGCGCAGATAGCCCTCGTGAAGCTTTGCGCGAAATCAATAAAAACAAACAAAAACCTTTTACACACATTTTTCTGAACTATATATGCACAATTTTAGAGGGAGGGGGAGTACTGAAGAAATGTAGATATAAATACTATTAATATTGCATGCGAACCGAATAATTACTTTTGGAGTCTAATTATTTTATGCAGAAAATGAGTTCTGATTTTGATTATTTATTTTGCTAATTCCTTACTCCGACTGTTGTAATAGGCAAACACATAATGTTACTGGGTACGAAGGCCACGGTAGCGATATATTTTAAAACTAATCAGTAATTTAGGGGCTAATACCAGTATCTGGGCCACTTTTAATTGATATTTACCAATGATAATAGAAAAAATGCTTTAATTAATCTACGAAGTGTCGAGTAGGGCCGTGTTTTGAGGATTCATCAGTGCCTCCCTCTAGCGGCAACAAATATAACTATTTCAAAGTGAGGAAGGTTGTTAGATTCAACAAGAAGATAAGGACGATAATGAAAATGAACATTTTATATCGGACATTTTGGATTATACTTAATCTATCTTCAGCGAATTTTTATGAAAATAATTAATTTGTAATATGTATAGGGTTTGGAGTCCGTTTTACTTCACCATATATTAACCTAAGTTAATTTAGGCATGTGAATAATGTTACGGCATTTCGACATTATATAGCCGCCTAATGGTATTTCTTTGGTTTACTGACCCAAGCTACACTGATGAGCCTTGAGTAGGCAAAACTGCAGTCCAAATTGTAAGGCCAGTCAAATAATGCATGAGACCCCTACGTCACAGATTCTCTTTGCAATTTTATCTCTGGTGAAAAAGAAAAGAAATAATGAACATATATAGACATTTAAGTTGTAAATTTAATGTAAGAAGTTAGAATTTAAAAAAGTCTAATCGTATCTATAACTATGTGACACAAACATTCTAAAACTTATGAGCGTTAATTCCGAAAACAGCTGAAACGATCAAACTTTGTGACACAAACAGTCTGAAAGATGGTTAATTCCGAAAACAGCTAAAACGATCAAAACTTGTGACACAAACAGTCTAAAAGACTGAGGGTTAATTTTGCCAACAAGAACAACTGGAGCTAGGATGAAATTGAAAATTTTTAATGCACTAGAACAAGGTTAAAAAATTTTCAGTTGTGAATAATTGTTTTATTTCGTATTTTTCTCTCTTTAGACAGAATTTCTAACAATACCCATTGTAGTTCATGGACCAAACTTCCAGACCGTCGCCATTATGAAATGGATGGAATGGGTTCCTACTTTATCTGTGAGTAAATTCTCGACTCTTTACAACAACTCTGGACTAATGTTCAAGATCAAATATCTTTATTTTTACAAACATTTTTCACCCTTTGTGAAAAATTTCTTTATTTTTACAGACATTTTTCGCCCTTTGTGAACAGTTTCTTTTTTTACTCGGAATTTCATGTTGTTTCATTACAATGATTTAAAATTTAAAACAATGAAATTTAGATGCATGTTTTTGTTTACTTTGTTTCTAGGTGGAACTTACAAACTTTATATTTTGAAGCATGTTAACAATCTTATGTGTTTTTCTGTGTAACTGTACTGTCACACAGCTTAAATAAGCTGTAATCGCAATGTAGTAACTTTATCTTTCAAATTAAAAAAGTAGCTTCTAGTTTAAAACAAAGAAACAATGCAGCATTGTGTTGAATATGTGGCAATGCTACTGTAAGTGAAGTTTGAAAAGACGTAAAGCTATGGATTACTGGTGATAACAAAACTGAAACCTGTTTAACCGGTACTTCGTACTTGCTGTATTTTATTGCACATTGCGCTGCTATTTAAAAAAAAAATCTATGTTCTGTATTCTTCGTCCTGGGTATTAGCGTTGAAGTGATACTTAACGGACCCTATACTATTCCACCATATTGTGGTCCTTAAGTGATACTCTACTCTTCGTCCTGGGTATTAGCGTTGAAGTGATACTTAACGGACCCTATACTATTCCACCATATTGTGGTCCTTAAGTGATACTCTACTCTTCGTCCATTTGGTAGTACTAATAAAATGATCCTTTACTCTGCTGCCATCTATTGGCCTTAAGAGGTACTCAGTTTTACGTCCAACTATACTAGTAGTTCCTAAACGACCCTTTACTCTATCGCTATCTAGTGGTTCATGAGGCATGCACTAAAAGCCGGAACGGAACAGGAACTCTGTACTACAGGTCGGAACCCTATCAATATCTTACTACTGCATAACAATAGTAACCCTACTTAAGAAAAACGTGACGAAATACCTATAGGTAGAGAAGGACACAGTTCTTATATCTACAACTGTCGGAGTTAACAGTAAACGAAGTAAAGACATGTTGCCTCGGGCAACTGAAAATAAACAAAACACGTAACACGTGCACGAAATAGTGTTCCATACTAACAACTGTTAGATACTTTCCTTTGAATATTTCACCAATTATTAAATAAATACTTGACATCATGTTCAGAAGAATTTAAGTAATATTATAGACATATTCGAATTTTTACTTAATATCGCTTAAGACTTCTTTACAACATGATATATTCAGTGTAATCCAAAACGACCTCCTAAACTTTACCATTTAGTTTTCGAAGTCTGGCTTCATTGAAAGTGGAGCTATATAGGCTACAAAATAGCCTCTCACCGAGGAGACACATAGCTACATCATAAAGTAAAATAATATATATATATATAGTTTATACGCATAATAAGTAGTTCCTTTTACGCAGCCGAAGCTACCTTGCATAATAGCCTCCCAACGGGGAAACACATAACAGTGAAAAAAAAAGGTAAAAAAAAATTACAAAACGATCTCCTAAGCTATACCATGTTGATTTTATTTAGAGTTCCAACTTTTTGATAAGTGAGCTATATAGGTTGCTGAATAGCCTCCAACCAGGGACACACATATAGAGTAAAAAATATATATTGTAAGCATGATAACTTGTCCATAACACTACTTCAACCCCACTCCTGAAATACAAAAGAATAGTAAAAAAATGTTAATTGGTAAGCAACCACTATGGAAGACTTTATTCAACAATCACCATCTCCGACTGTTCCTGTACTTTGTTTTTAAGTCTTCATTCTCTGTATGACAAATTTCTCCCTTTTTCATCTAGAATGAATTAGAAGGGCTTGCTGGCTCTCTAAAGTCAGCCAAGAAGTTATGTTCTGGTGACATCTGGGTCGAACCGCCTACAGTACAACACAACGACCTAATCCTGAAATCGAAGTCCATCGGGGATATACTTATTGTGGTTATTCCCCATGCTACTTTGAATTCCTCTCATGGAGTAATTGTTGAGAGGTGTTTACTTAACACCCCTGAGCCGGAGATTCTCGCTGGTTTCTCCAGTCAAGGAGTTTCAGCTGTGCGATGTATTTCTCTCTACTCGTAAAGACGGAATTATGCGTCCTACCCAGGCTCGTGTTTTGACATATACATCCCCATCTACACTTGCCTCTATCAAGGTGGGTTATCTCAACTGTAAGGTGTGGCCCTACATTCTTAACCATCTCAGACGTTTCCCATTTCAGTGGTTTGGACACTCTGAGACATCTTGTCGAGGGTCCTTGATGTGTGTTCGTTGTGGTGGCAACGGCCACGACGCCTACAAGTGTTAATTGGACTCTCACTGCGTCAATTGTGGTGGTTCCCACCCCTCTTACCTTCGATCTTGCTCTAAGTGGGTGGAGTAGAAAGAGGTACAACGTTTACCCTGAGGCTCGTAAGTTGTTGTCCCCTGTTCCATCTTGGACATATGCTGCTGCACTCCATTCCACTACTACAGTGGAAGTGTAGACAAATCTTTCCATGCCTCCCACAGAGTATAATATCTCACACCACGTAAAGAGTATTTTGCCCTCCGTGGACTCAAAAGTTGACAAGTCTATGTCTACTCCTGTCTCTGTCCCCACTATCGCATCCAGTGACTGCTCGGATCCCTTTCCTTCGGCCCCGAGGTGCAGAACCATTATTCAATCATGCACTCAGTCACTTGAGTCTCCTTCGTCTGACAGAGGTTGCCCAATCGGCCCAGGACAGGTTCCATGGAGGTTGACAGACCTCTTTTTACTAAAAATATATATATGTGGTCCCAAACAAACTGGTTCTCCTCCTTCAAAGTAAACATGGCCACTTTCATACATTGAAACTGTTGAGGTTTTTGTTCTAATTTGGATGACATTAAGGCCTTGGTCAATTCCTATCGTCCCGTGTGTCTCTCCTTACAGGAAACATTTCTCAGACCTGCCAATGCTGTCACCTTTTGTCTGTTTTCCTTATACCAGAAAACAGGTCGTGTGATGGACGAGTTCATAGAGGGTGGCGCTGCTGGTTGACACTCAATATGCCCCTGGAGGCTGTAGCTGTCTGTATCTCCATGGGTCATACCATCACTATATGCTCTCTTTACCTGTCACCAGGAGATATTTACGATCAATGAGACTTTGATGCTCTTATTTAACGGTTGCTGGCTCTTTTTTTATTGTTGGAAGACTTTAATGGACATAATCCCCTTTGGGATGATGTTGATATTGATGGGAGGAGTCGTTCTGTGGAGCATATGCTCTCAGATCACAACATTTCTAACTTCAGTACTGGTTCATTTACACATTTTCACACTCTTAGTCAGTCTTTTATTGTTATTGATCTATCCATTTGTTCCCCTTCACTTTTTCTCATTTTTCTTGGAGGGTGGACAATGACCCATGAGGTCGTGATCAATTCACCATCATTTTGGGGAAGTTCGGCCACAGCTCATGCCAATCAACTTGTGTTCCATGGTGGAAGCTGAAGCAAGCTGACTGGCTCTCCTTTACCACTCGGAACTTGATCCTGCTGTCGTTAGTCTTCCCACTATTAACGACTGCATGAAGGCAGTAACTGAATGTATTATTCAAGCAGCTGTTACTTCGATTCCCAAAACCTTGACATGTTTCCCATAGTATCTTCGTCCATGGTAGACTCCTTACTGCCAGCGGGTTCAGAAGGCTCAGAAACAGGCCTGGGATATCTTTTGCAGGTATTCCACTCTTCCTAACCACATTAATGTTCAACAGGCTCGTGCCCTTGCCTGGCTGATCAGACGTCAAAGCCAGACGGAATCTTGGATTATGTTTACTACCATCATCTCTTTTGCCATCACTTACAGGGTCGTCTGGGACAGGATTTGGAAAGTTATTGGGAATTATGCTTCCATCCACTTTCGATCTTGTTTTCCAATTGCCAGGAAGTTGCTTATGTTCAGGACATCGCTCACACCCTTGAGGAGTGCTTTTCTAACCTTTCCAGCAATTCTGTCTCTTCTTCTGCCTTCTTGGCCATCAAGTCACGGGCTGAGCAATTGCCACTCTCTTTTCGGGTAGATTGACCCAATGACTATAATCGTCCATTTACCCTGGTGGAACTTAAACTAACTCTTCATTTGTCTGGCAGTACATCATTTGGATGTGATGACATTCATTATGAGATGGTTCTCATTATCATCAGATTTTTGGAGAGGATGGTTAATGTCTGTCTTGTTTGGTTATTTGAATCAAACAACCTCTTCTCGCCTATCTAATATGGGTTTCGTCGACAATGCTTCACCGTGCATTGCCTAATTCATCTTGAAACCTCAATCAGCGAAGCCTTCCTCAAGAGGGAGCATCTTGTGTCCGTTTTATTTGATCTTGAGGAGGCTTACGACACTATGTGGAAGTATGGCATTTTACGGACCTCCATTCCTATGGGTTGTATTGCCATTTGCCCATTAAGCTTAGATCCTTACCACAGCATTCCACCTGGGGTTGTGTCTTTCTTCTTCAGTGGGCTTTGCTCTTTGAGAATTGGTGGTCTGCCATTCTTCCATTTAGCCTTCATATCCAGGCACAGCTGGCCGAATTGGGTCTGTCATTGGATAATGTTTCTGAATGTGATGATTAGCTCATACCTCCATGGCTCATTACCACCCTATCTGTGACCTTTCCTTGAGTCGTGTGAGGATGACAGATAATCGCGATTGGAAGTACCGTCATCTCTCTTTTGTCAAACGTCTATCGAACCATTCTTCGAAATCAGGCGACTCTGTGGGCTCTGCCATGGTTTATTGTGGCTCAGTGGTTGCTCACAGGATCCCATCTACAGTTTATCTCTTCACTGCTGAGTTGTATGCCATTTATCTTGCCTTGGATCACCTAGAAGCTAAGCAATGCATTAATTACACTGTTTAAACTGGCACTCTTGGCTCTCTACTGGCCCTGGAATCACTTAATGTGAGTTCTCACTCTGTTCTCTTAGACATTCAGAAACGACTAGCCCACTTTTCCCTGTCTTCCATTTCTAACCAGATTTTCTGAATACCTGGCCATGTCGGTATTCATGGGAACGAGCTTGCTGACACTGCAGCTAAGTCCATCTGCTCTGACATTATCGCAGCTGTGCCTCTCCCATATATGGACTTCGGTCCTTTGATCAAAGCACGGCTTCACGCCAATTGGCAGTCGATTTGGTGTGAGCAAATTCGCAACAAGCTTTTCCAAATCAAACCTTCTATTGTTCTTTAACCATCTAGTTTCCATAAGGATTGGAGAGAGGAAGCTGTATTGTCTAGGCTATACATTGGTCACAGTTTATTTACTCTAGTATTTTTTTTTATTTATGTGAGACTGATCCGCCTTTACTTTTGTGCTGTCGTTACGACTCTGAGCAGCGGAAACGTTTTAGCCATGTCTTTTCTAAGGATTTACCTTTGACATTGGACAGTGTCATTGGCGATGGTGACACCGCCCAGCTTGCTTGTGTTTTTAGATTTTTGCGGGCCATTGGTCTTTTTAATTCTATTTAATTTTTACCTGTTTTTTGTGGCATTGTTTAGCTGTTAGTCTGTTTTCATTTAATTTTTATAGAGTTTTATTTCTCTTTGCCTTTCTAATGGTTGTAAGGCGCAAGTAGCCTTGCTGCTTTGAGCCATTAAACTCCAAACAACCAACTCTTACGTAACAGATGATGGCACTCCTGTTTGTCAGGTCCGCCACACTGGCCAAAACCACTGGGTGTTTTCATTGCGGAGCGATTATGGATCTAATCCATATTTTGGATCCTCTTTTAGATTTCAGTAACCCCCAAGCATGTCTTCAAATTCAGTTATGTCAATTATACGGTAAAGATAAAAAACAACAACATATTTTACTAAGAATGCCTTATGTGTAGCAGCAGAATGATGGTAACAACTGTGGTAGTTCCTTCATACAGTGGGGACAGGTAATACAGAAGTAAACCTTAAGCAGGAATATAAGATCACATTTGATGGATTGTCTAGAAGAGGGGGCGCCAGCTCTTTTCCCTCAGTTGTAAAGTGTATGAGTATTATCAATGTTCAATAACATTAACTTGTAATTGTGGGCTTCCAGGGGCCGCAAGAGAAGTGATTAGATGACACAGTGGGATGTCAGAATCCTGTAAATTATTATATCATAAACACTGCGTACGAGTAAGAAGGGGTCATCAAGGTATCTGGTTATGTAGCAATTGTAAAGAGGGTCTAGTGGATAAAAGTGAAGCAAATGGGAATGAAATAGTTAGTTTTATCTTATTGTGTCTTCTAATTTAAATTTAATTTATAAATACGCTTATTTATTTGTAAATAAAATTAATATATTACACTGTAAACTGAGATAGTTTGTGTTGCGCAAAGCTACACGAGGGCTATCTGCGCTAGCCGTCCTTAATTTAGCAGTGTAAGATTAGAGGGAAGGCAGCTAGTCATCACCACTCACCGCCAACTCTTGGGCTACTCTTTTACCAACGAATAGTGGGATTGACCGATCCATTATAACGCCCCCACGGCTGAAAGGGCGAGCATGTTTGGTGGGACGGGCATAGGAACCCGCCACCCGCAGATTGCGAGTCGACTACCTTAACCACCTGGCCATGCTGGGCCAACTGAGATAGTGTTTACCAATTGTTGATTATATATGAATATCAACAATGTCGGATAACATAACTGTGCAATTACCTTTATACTATAAAATGGTAGAGGTTTATAGATGATCATGTTTCATAACAAACTCTACAAATGTCTTTACTCTTATCAGGTCCCACAAGTAGAAGTTTTCAGATATCAAGACAACTAACGAATGACTAAAGAACTAGGTTATGTAATACCAACATGTGTTGTACAACGATCAGATTGTTTAACTTGTCATTACAAATAAATATATTAACTTGTCTAAAAGCAGAATCTCAAAATAAAATAAATATAATAAAATATTTTTTCCATTTTATGTATCTCATGAGGAATAATCTCAAGTAGTGTTATGGACAAGTTATTATTAACATAAAATATATTTTTTACTCAATTATAAATCTATGTGTTTCCCCGGAGGGAGGCTATTGTGCAAGACACTCTAAAACCCGGAACGCAAAATAAAATTAACATGGTATAATATAGGAGGTCGTTTTGTAATTTATGTTATATATCTTCTAAAAAAGAATCGTAAGTAGTGTTATGGATAAGTTATTATGCACACACAATATATATATTACTTTATAATGTTATGTGTTACCCCGTTGGAAGCTATTATGCAAGGTATGTTCGACTGCGTAAAGGAACTAGTTATTATGCGCATAATATATATTTTTTACTTTATAATGTAGCTACGTGTTTCCGTAATGAGAGTCTATTTTACAACCTATATAGCTCAACTTTCAATGAAGTTGAAAACCAAATGTAAAGTTTACGAGGTCGTAATTACAAGTTAGACTGTTTTATAAATTATTTTTTGTCTGTAATATTACATAACTTTTTATTTACCTAATATCAGTAAATTTATTTAGCAATTCATGAAAAATGTACTTCGTGCACGTGTTATAACGTGCAACTTAGCTTTACCACGTGTCCCCCACTTTTATAGGTACAAGGGTTATGTCGTACCATGAGACATTCCATCAGGTTTGTTCACCTGGTTATACACATGGCTTTTAGTACATTCATTAAATGATGTTCATCTCTTCGAACATCTATACTAGTAGCTTCTAAATGACCCTTTCCTCTCCGCCATCTATTGGCCTTAGGAGGTACAAGGTTTTTCCCCATCTATACTAGTAGTTTCAAAATGGTACTTCTATCTAACGATGTATAAGTGATCATTAGCTCAACCGCCATCTAGTGGTCCTTCAATGATACACAATATTCTATTGAGGAACATTCGAAAATAAACACTTTTTCTAAATATGTATTCAGCTAATATTGCATATTAAAATATGCAATACCTTTAGAACCCGCTTTAAACCAATGGAGATTTTGATATTTCTGTTTTCACTTCAATCTAAGTTAAACTGACATCTTACGCTCCTCTTTATGGAATTAAATTAGCTTGAGTAAAACCACGTGTTCGTAATTCAAACTACACTATTGTGCCTTTTATGTACTAGCTCCACTCTCATCCTCTCCAGCGGCTTCTGCAGCCAATTCTCGGAAGCAGCGAAGGGAAAGGACGACATTTACAAGAGCTCAGTTGGACATTCTGGAATCATTATTCACTAAAACCCGTTATCCCGATATTTTCATGCGGGAGGAGGTCGCGATGAAGATTAATCTACCGGAGTCCAGAGTCCAGGTAAGAGGTTTAAATACTAATCTTCTGGGACCCAGAGCACAAGTGATATGTTTAAATATTAATCTTCTGGAGTCCAGAGTACAAGTGAGATGTTTAAATATTAATATACCGGAGTCCAGGTAAGAGGTTTAAATACTAATCTTCTGGGATCCAGAGTACAAGTGAGATGTTTAAATATTAATATACCGGAGTCCAGAGTCCAGGTAAGAGGTTTAAATGATAATCTTTTGGGATCCAGAGTACAAGTGAGATGCTTGGATATTAATATTCTGGAGTCCAGAGTACAAGTGAGATGCTTGGATATTAATATTCTGGAGTCCAGAGTACAGGTAAGAGGTTTAAATGATAATATTCTGGGATCTAGAGCACAAGTGATATGTTTAAATATTAATATACCAGAGTCCAGGTAAGAGGTTTAAATGATAATCTTCTGGAGTCCAGAGTACAAGTGAGATGTTTAAATATTAATATACCGGAGTCCAGAGTCCAGGTAAGAGGTTTAAATGATAATTATCTGGGATCTATAGTACAAGTGAGATGTTTAAATATTAATATACCGGAGTCCAGAGTCCAGGTAAGAGGTTTAAATGATAATCTTCTGGAATCCAGAGTACAAGTGAGATGTTTAAATATTAATATACCGGAGTCCAGAGTCCAGGTAAGAGGTTTAAATGATAATTATCTGGGATCTATAGTACAAATGAGATGTTTAAATATTAATATACCAGAGTCCAGGTAAGAGGTTTAAATGATAATCTTCTGGAGTCCAGAGTACAAGTGAGATACTTAAACGTCAGTATTCCGGAGACCAAAGTACGGGTAAAATGTTCAAATGTTGGTTGGGTTTAAAATATAGATAACAACTTTAAACTCTGATATAAATTACAAGGTCCAGATAACAGATCCCTTATAGATTTATGGAAACTTTATGACGTTCAGAGAAAAGATAAGACATTTAAATCTTAGCGTACTTACGAGAATACATCATAGGTAAGAATTGGAAATTTGTGTTAAACCTGACAAAGTAAAACAAGCGGGAATCCTCAATAACCGCGGCACTTGAAATTCTTTTAGGCAGGAATGGAGTAAATTAATCCTATTAGCAAGCAATATCAAGCGTAGGGCGCGCGTATACTCTAGTCGATTTTATTACTCATCAGGATCTCTACCAGTCTACCCTCAAATTGAAACTCTTTTAGGCAGGACTACAGCAAATTAATCTGTGAGACCTTGGGCGTGGTCAAATATATTAACCGAAAGGGTTTGACCTCCTTAGTCCAAAATTGTAATTAGGTCTCAAGAGATGACGGAGCCATGAGCTAAAGATTTGTACTTGAAAAAAACAACCTCAGAGCCATTCTATGAGCCGCCATGCCGCGTCTAATAAGTAAAAATTGGTTGGATTTTTGAAAAATTTTAATTAGAAGGCGTGTCTGTGTTTCTAAACAGCTGTTTTCTGTTAGAAAGTATTTGAAATAGATATACTTATATATATCTTTTGATGTACATCAACTGAGAAATTAACAAGAATATCTTAAAACATTTGTCTTTAGTATTTAACCTTTTGATTTATACTAATTACACCTTACGTAGAGATGTAGAATTGGACGTTTCAAGTAAATTTGTTTTCATTTCAGTCCTCTTTAGGAACAACACTGCTGTAAATAAAATTTATTGAAGAAAATCACGTGTTTTAACAACCAATCAAATGTCTTTCAACCGTTTTTGTGTGCTAGGTGTGGTTTAAAAACCGTCGTGCCAAATGTCGTCAGCAGCAACAGCACCAGAACGATGGGTCATCGACGAAGAGCTCGCGCTCCAAGAAAACCAAACTTTCCCATCCAGCCACAACATCTCCAGATACGAACTCCCGAAACTCTGTGTACAAACCAGCTCCCTTAACTCCTGCTCCGGCTCCCTCTCCGTCTCCTGTGACATCAAACGGCACAGGCTCGATGTGGAGTCCAGCCATGACCCCGATGTCGGATCTGATGTACGGTAGCAGCTGCATGCAGAGATCGTCCTACCAAATGACCAACAACTGCTATTCTCAGGGTTACGGATCGTCGTCCTACTATGGAAACATGAGTATGGATTATCTACCGCCACCAATACCGCATGCGCAGTTGAGCGTCTCTACGGTGAATTCCTTGAGCCAGATGAACATACCCGTGATGACGTCACATATGAACTCCGTAGGTTTACCGTCTGCACAGCCTTTAACCCCGCGAACTCCCCCTATAAACGGAAATATTTCAGCAACCGAATGTTTAGATTATGGCTTTGAGAAGCCGCCTACGTGGAAGTTTCAGGTATTGTGATAGGGGTGTTTACTGTGACGACATCTTAGTCAGAATTATTTGTATCGGTACAAACTAACTTTTGGATACGTTTCCAACATCTCACAAAGAAGGAGTTGGATTTACTTGGATTTCTTCCTTGTAACCACTCAGTCGAAACTATTTTCACGAATAAAGGATAATTTGATTTTCTTTTTTTCATAAGTGTTAACCAGATGGAAAATTTTGAAGTTAGGATTTGAACCACAAATTTCGTAACCGAATCTTAATATCGTTTAGTTTAATTTGTTTTACGTGATACATAGCTTCAAAGACAGTGACAAACTGTGATATTATTCATGATATACTAATGATACATAGGAAACTATATGACTGAGTGTGATGAGCGGTATCTGCGATCAAGAATTCAGTCTAGAAACTAACAACGTTGATAACAAAATAAAATTCCTGTCATAATGGAATTGAGTTAATTTTGTTTCCTAGAAGTGAATCTCAGATTTACAGATAAGTCACGTTAAACAAGTTCCTTCTCTGGTAAGGCTATAACATTCACTATTCTACTCGCCCTTCTGATTCGATAGAGCAATCTTCTAGAATACAGAATAATTACGACATATTTAATAATGCTGTCTTGTAAACCGTGATAAGATCTAAAAAATAAACTAAAAATCAATAAAGCCGGATGTCAGAGATTTATAACTTCCCTTCGATACAAACATGTTGTTGCGTAGATCTTCACTTGATTACTCTTTGTTTTTACTTTACATTCGAACAATCGCACGTGGAGTGACTATGGTTACACTCTTTAAAAAGTTTACTGTTTACTGGCAGCCCATTGTACATTGTATTCTTTCTGTTTATTGGCAAATAAAACTGACCATTATATAACAAGGTTTCCTCTGCTCACTAACACATAAAATTGACCAGTATATATTGACGTTTTTCTGTCTATTGACAGATAAAACTGACCAGTATGCCTTGAGGATTTTTCTGTTCAATGACATATAAAACTGACCAGTATGCCTTGAGGATTTTTCTGTTCAATGACATATAAAGCTGATCAGTATACCTTGAGAAATTTTCTGTTCAATTAAATATAAGACTGACCAGTATATCTTGAAGTATTTTCTGTTCAATAACAGATAAAATTGACCAGTATATCTTGAGGAAATAAACCTGACCAGTATACCTTGAGGATTTTTCTGTTCAACGACATATAAAACTGACCATTATACCTTGAGAAGTTTTCTGTTCAATTAAATATAAGACTGACCAGTATATCTTGAAATATTTTCTGTTCATTAACAGATAAAACTGACCAGTATATCTTGAAATGTTTTTTTGTTCAATAACAGATAAAATTGACCAGTATATCTTGAGGAGATAAACCTGACCAGTATACCTTGAGGATTTTTCTGTTCAACGACATATAAAACTGACCATTATACCTTGAGGAGTTTTCTGTTTATCAACAGATAAAACTGACCAGTATACTTTGAGGAGTTTTCTGTTCAATGAAATATATAACTGACCATTATACCTTGAGGAGATTTCGGTTCAATGACAGATAAAACTGACCAGTTTACATTGAGGAGTTTTCTATACAATGATATATAAAACTGAGAACTTTTCTGTATAATGACTGATGAAACTGACCAGTTTAAGTTGAGGAGTTTACTTTAGAATGATAAATAAAACTGACCAGTACACGTTAACGTTTTTCTGTCTATTGACGTATAAGACTGACCAGTATACCTTGAGGATTTTTCTTTTTCAATGACACATAAAACTGAACAGTATACCTTGGGGTGTTTTCAGTTCAATGACATATAGAATTGACCAGTATACGATGAGGATTTTTTGTTTAATAGCATATAAAAGTGACCAGTATACATTGACGTTTTTCTGTCTATTGACATATGACACTGACCAGTATACCTTGAGGAATTTTCTATTCAACGATATATAAAACTGGCCATTATATTTTGAGGATTTTTCTGTTTAATGATACAAAAAACTGACAAGTATGCATTGACGTTTTTCTATCTATTAACATGTAACACTGACTAGTACACGTTGAGGATTCTTTTTTTCTCTTCAATTACAGATAAAATTGACCAACATACGTTGAGAATTTTTTTTGTTCAATGACAGATAAAAGTGACCAGTATACATTGATGTTTTTCTGTCTATTGACATATGACACTGAGCAGTATACCTTGAGGATTTTTCTGTGAATTGAAAGATAAAGTGACCACTATACGGGGTGTACCAGAAGTCTGGACCCACGGGGAAAAACGCCCAGTTTAATCTTAATTTATTTATTATTCATTAACAACAGTACACATATCAATTCTTGGTATACTGTGCCATCAGGGAATTTCTTTCCTGAAATATGTACAACTGATATTAGAAAGGTGTTTAACTTTAAGAATATAATATCTATTTTCTCTATGGGTCCAGACTTCTGGGACACCCTGTACTTTGTTTTGGTTTTTTTTCTGTATATTAAAGGGTAAAATGGACCAATATACGTAGATATTTTTTCTGTTGATTTACAGAAACAACCAACCATTATATGTTGACTTTTTTCTGTTTTCTGGCGGATAAAACTGAGCAGTATACGTCATAGTTTCTCTAATCATTATCATTTGTCAGATAAAAAGCTAAAACTGGTTTCTCATTGGCTGAACTCCAACATCAATAGAACGTGTTGAGTGTTTCGTCACAGGTATAGATTTATTTCTCCTTAAACGGTTAGTTAAGGGCTTATATTGGTTTAAATTCAGGATTCGATCCCTTCAGTGGACACAGCCAAGATAGCCAATGTGCAGCTTTGCCGCTTAACAACAGCAACAGCAAAAAATTAAAGTATAATTACACAGATAAATTACGTCGTCATTGTTTCGGAAAGTAGCAACTGTGCCATCTGGTGAGGCCTAGCTGGTTGAAAAAGCTCTCATTAACATCCCAAGAAACTAATGTTATTTTTTATTTCATTGCAACACTTGATATAATAGACAGGTTGAAATTACCCACAGTCGTAGAGGCTTGTTCTCCCGATATGTTTCAAAATTTACAATTTTGAGACATTATGGAAAATTCCTGCGCACGTGTTTGACCCGCGTCTGTCTCTGAGCGCAGACTGGTTTTTGTTTGTTTGTCGTTTATACGTAAGTTCTTGCTACGTTTCACACGAACTGTCGTTACAAAATTAAAATATTGCTCAAGATATTCGAGAAAGATCTGATTGGTCAGACCAATAAATGGCATGACATAGAAAGTGAAGCAAAATGAAACTGGTAATATGATGCAATAAATTTGCTTTGTTTTTGAATTTCGCGCAAAGCTACTCGAGGGCTATCTTGCGCTAGCAACCCATAATATAGCAGTGATAGAATAGCGGGAAAGCAGCTAATTAACAGCACCTACCGTCAACTCTTGGGCTACTATTTTACCAACGAATAGTGGGATTGACCATCACATTATAACGCCCATACGGGGATTCGAAACAGTGACTCGCAGTCGAACGCCCTAACCACCAGGCCATTCTAGGCTTAACCACAGTAAGTTTGTTTGTTTGGTTTTTAACGCTAAGTTACACATTAGGCTACCTATGACCTGTCCACCAGGGGAATCGAACCTCGGATTTTAAGTTCGTAAATTTGCCGCTGACCCACTGGAGGGGGGGGGGGGAGTAGAGAGCCGCTTCCTAATGTTAAAACTGCTCCGAAGTCATGCGTGTGCAAAATGTATTGCGCGAGGTATCTTGAGACAGAGCTGATTGGTCAATCCAGAAAATCATAAAGTTTATGCATTGATAAACAATTTTGTAATATTAGAGCCCGAGGGTAGCCTAGTGGTAACGTATCGAACTATGGACCCTAGGGTCCAGGGTTCGAGATGTGCATTATAAGAGTGAAAGTCAATACCGCTGGCGACTGATTACGTTTCTTCTTATAGGTCTCTAAGTGGTTGTTTAGTTAACTGTGTACATAAAGTAAGGTCATAACGGCCTTAAGGCACGGTAAGGACCTGAGTAAGAGTAAGAAGAACAACGGCCTTAAGCCACGGTAAGGACCTGAGTAAGGGTAAGAAGAAAGCAAAAAAAAAAAGAACATAAAAATGATGGTAAATAACATTGTTCAAAATTAGGAAATTCTGTTTGGTCGGTTTTAAGCACTGTGTCCGCCGCGGTGATCCAATTCCGAATTTTAACGTTATAAGTCCTCAAACTAACCAGTGAGCCACATTGAGACAACTCGTTTGTTTTGAATTTCGCGTAAAGATACTCGAGGGCTATCAGCTCTAGCCGCTCCTAATTTAGCAGTGATAGATTAGTGGGAAGGCAGCTAGCCAACTCTTGGACAACTCTTTTACCAACGAATAGTGGGATTGACCGTAACCTTATAACGCCCTAACGGCTGAAAGGTTGGGCATGCCAGGTGAAGAGGACATATCAGGAAACTCTAACCACCTAACATTCAATGTACCTCTTTTGTGTGGGGTCTCAGCCTGCAAGAGGTGATTCCCCTCCAAACCCCAGTGTGCGTAGGGCTATTTATCGTCCGCTGGAGCTCCTGTAAGAATCGTAATATTAATAATTATTACGAAAAAAAAATATATATATATACCTGAATATTATTTTTACTTTTAACCCAATTTGTTATAAAATTTAAAGTTTGGTGAATATATAGATATTACTGTTATGTTTCTTGTTAGTGAACTACAACTTTTGATTTTCAAACACTGCACGTGGAAACGTTTGTTTCTTTCAGAAATTCGCGCAGAGATACATTGTGTTATCCTTGAACTCATAGATTAGATGCAGCACACCTACAGCCAACTCTTGGGCTACTATTGTCTGATCGAGTAATGCGATCTGACTTTCATCAACTCTTGGGCTACTCTTGTCTGATCGAGTAATGCGATCTGACTCTCATCAACTCTTGGGCTACTCTTGTCTAATCAAGTAATGCGATCTGACTCTCATCAACTGTTGGGCTACTCTTGTCTGATCGAGTAATTGGATCTGACTCTCACCAACTCTTGGGCTACTATTGTCTGATCAAGTAATGGAATCTGACTCTCACCAACTGTTGGGCTACTCTTGTCTGATCGAGTAATTGGGATCTGACTCTCACCAACTCTTGGGCTACTCTTGTCTGATCGAGTAATGCGATCTGACTTTCATCAACTCTTGGGCTAATAATGGCTGGAGACGGCTTA